CCCCAACCGAAACTCCTCCGGGGGCGACGACTCCAATTCCAGATGGGGTTCTAGGGTTTCCGACGAGCCTCGCCGAAACGGCTCCTTCGGCTCTAGGGATTCCAATCGCGAGTTGCCCCCTTCACGCGCCGACGAAACCGACAATTGGGCCGCCGCCAAGAAACCCTCCGGGGGGTTTGAGAGGAGGGAGAGGGAAAAGGGAGGGTTTTTCGATTCGCAGTCACGCGCCGACGAATCTGACAGCTGGGTTTCGAACAAGAGCTTCGTGCCGTCGGAGGGGCGGCGATTTAACGGTGGAGGAGGGTTCGAGAGAGAGAGGAGGGTCGTAGGGTTCGGTTCCAGCGGCGGCGCGGATTCCGACAACTGGAACAGGAAGAAGGGTGAGTCCAACGTTGTGAGCGAGAGCGGTGGTGTTGCTGGTACGAGGCCGAGGCTTAATTTGCAACCTAGGACAATGTCGGTGAGCAATGAAGGGCAAGATGGGAATGTGGGAAAACCCAAAGGGGTTAATCCCTTTGGAGAGGCACGGCCTAGGGAACAGGTTTTGGCGGAGAAAGGGCAAGATTGGAAGAAGATTGATGAACAGCTTGAGAGCATGAAGATTAAGGAGACAACCGGTGATGGGTTTGGGAAGAGGGGTTTTGGTTCTGCAAATGGAGCACGTGGTGCTACTTTGCCTGAAAGTCGCACTGAGAGGAGTTGGAGGAAGCCCCAATCTGATGATGAACGTCCTAAAAGGTTTGTCACTCATACCAATACCATCTCAATAACATCATGGTACTAGTGGTTCCCTTTCTTTCTATTCTTCTTGATTACTTGTTTTGGTGCATGTTTTTTTTGATAATTAGGAGTTTGAGATGTTTGTTGATGCTATTAGCTTCTTTTGTTACTGTTTGATTCAGTGTGTGTCCTCCTGGCTGATACCAGAGTGGGGAAAGTAAATGTTTTGGTGCATGTTGTGATGTGCTCAGGGATGTTAATTTGCACTTTCCAACCCGTAGCTTCTTACCTTTTTAAATTTTATTTCAGTGTATTTCTGTGTGCAGTGTTGCTTTATCTCTAATGCGGATGAGATGCTAGTTATAACTACTTTTTTATGAGTAGTATTTTCAACTAATTTAGAGTACTGAGTTTTTTTGGTTTTTTTAGGAGTTTTATACTGACTCATTCTGTATCTTGTGCCCTACCTAACACTGCTTGGTTACTTAGTACTGAACTTTCTGTATTCTTTATGCCAATATGGTTTTTAAGTTCATAGTGATAGTGGTGCTGTCTCGCGTAGATGACATTGACAAGGATGTTGTTAGGCTTGGAGTCATTTAGACAGCTTAATACTTGATATTGGAAGATCTACAAGCAGAACTTTTTACATGCTTCTAGAGCACCTTATGCAGGATTTTGTAATTTCTGACAGACTCGCTCACCACTCATTTCTGTATTTATTATTTAAGTCTTGTTTCTCATTAAAAAAATATAAATATGTAAGTGGTGGACCCCATCAGTAATTAACCAAGCTTAAAATGTTGTCATTTGAATGGAACAGAGCATAATCCTACATGGTGCTTAGAACATGCCATAATTTCATATGGTTGTGACTTGTGTTTTGTACTTTTTTTTTCCTGTTTGTAATGCTCTTGAGCTGTTTACTGTTTAATGCAGTGCTGAGAAAGTGGAAGAACACGTTGAAGAAAATTGAAGAGCGATCAATTACTTTTGGTCCCTGCTGATTGATCGATTAGAGAGAGGAGATGGAAAGGAACATTGAATATCACAAACTTATTTTTTGTTTCCCATTGAAGTTTTGTCCGTCTTATCTTGTCATGTTTTATTGTGAGATTAATACTGATACAGTGAAGACACATTTTTGGTAGTTATGCTGGTAGCTTAGGCAGTCGTTTTTATGAATATGTTTGTTACTAAATGTTGTCGTCATTTCCCCTACATGATTCATAATCTATATAAGTTTAGTGTTGCATTTCGGATCGTGGAATTCCTTTATTTTGCCCTTCGTTTATCAAATGTTGTTCATGTTCAACTCATTAATATATGTATGCAGCTAATAAATTAGTATATTAAGTGAAACATCGTTGTGGTTATTCCTGCACGATGAAGCAAGCCTTTCAAAATGTATTTGATATTATTATCGAACATTATGACAAATGCCACATTACTTGAAGCATGTCTTTAACATTTTTAGCGGTGACTGAGTATGCAGCTTTCGTTCAATTTTTTCCCAATTTTATTTCATATACATATAAGCATTAGCAGGGTGCAATGAAATATCCGACTAAACAAGTTATTAAGTTCTTTGTTGCTTAAAATGGTGGAATTAACTGTTAAGTTGTGTGTACAAATATCTGGGAACAGCCGTGATTATACCTTGAAAAGAAAATGATTCAATTGGAGCTCATCTTAAAGGAAACACTTGTAGCTTTGGGGAAACAGAGGATAACTCAGTGGAAGGCGTGTCAAATGTTAATAATGTCCATACAATTTAGTCAACGAGAAGAAATGCACAAGATGCTTTCTAATCCTTGATTATCCAGCATAATTTTGAAGCGTTGAAAGGGAGAGAATCGCAACTGATTGAGATGTGCATATGCTTTTGAGCAGAGGTGAATATGATAAAGTGGTCTCAAGTCTCAACTTTAAAAATACCATTCCTATTCAAATGCTGTTTTGCTTCTTTGCCTCCACAATTGGTGGATTATGTTATTCTAAAGCGATGAAGCCAATTTTGATTATAAAAAAATGAGGACGAAAATTTTATATTTCAACAATCCGATAATAATTTTAACCATTAGTTACTCCATTATCACAACAATTTTTTTTAAAGCGAAAGAGAAGTCAAATCCCCAAATAGCTGATAGATTGCCTAGGGCACATGATCGGATTAATAACTGTTTTAGAATTGGGTTTGATTCTGTTAAATGAGCCCTTAGAGCTAGCTACGGTGTAATCCTTACCTAAGGGCCCACGCCAGCACATGTTGGTGGATAGACAACACAGGCTCCTCAATGAGTGGATAACGATGAATCTATATACTATGGAGAATCTTTGGCACAATTGTTTCCAAAGTTGGACGGTTGGCTTCTACAATTTTCAGCAGAAAGCCTTTCGATTCCTTTGGGATTGTTGTTAGGGATCATTTCATATCAGCCTTTTCCACTGATGTAATTGGTAAAGCCTCAACTCAACTATGAGGGTTTACATGGTTTCAATATGTTAGCCTTGGAGTCGTTTAGAAATAATATTTTATGTATTATTTTAATAATAAAATTACATTATCAATAATTTTGTCCAACTGAATATGTCTTGTAAAAGGTTATACTTTTTTATTAAGAAACTGAAAACACGAAAGTCAAAATAAAAAGGACTCTGGAAAGGGCATATTGATGATAGAGACTAAAATATGATTAAAGGTCTTAACAGGTGAGGATTTTTTAAAGGACTATCAATACTGCAATGTATGAGAATGGTGCTTTTTTCGAAAATAAAGGATAAAGATCTCAAATTTCGACTAAAAGAAACAGTTCCAAATAAACAGTTAGTTGTTTCTTCCTTGTTTTGTAACTTTATGCTATGATAATAACCAAGCTATTAATGCAAGATTGTTTTAGCTTTTAGACCTGGATCCTCATGAGTCCAAGCTTATAGTATTTGAGTCGATCAATTATGAGTCAGCCGGTCTATTATCAATCCATATATTTCTGAATCACTAATATGACTCTGTTAACTTATTTAATCTATATACATTAACTGAAGATATAGTCATACACCCATATATTAAACAGAACACAATGATAAATTAGGCAGAAGATAATCTACAAATGATAAGCGATTTTAATAATACAAAATAACGGAATAAGAGATAAGAGTTTATTCAAATTATTAGGAGTGAAAGATAAGAGTTGATTCAAAGTAGATTCTTTTTATTTTCTAATAAAAATTAATATTTGAAATAGTTTCATGGGATTCAATCAATTTTATTTTTATTCGGTATTCACCTAATTATTTGGAAAAATTCAAATCTTGTATTGATTAGAGATAAGAATATAATACTATATATAAGTGAAGAATGATTTTCACATTATAAGTCAATTTTGAAATGTTGAGTTAAACTTAAAACTTATGTTTTGAAAACTTATTATAAACTAACGGTGAAGCAAAATTAAATTGAAATCAGCAATAAGTTATGAATGGTTTAGTTATTTGTAGTTTTCTAAAAGCTTACAATGTTTGTTTTGTTGTATATCTTATTAGTAGAATCCTTATGTTGAATGGGGAAGTCCATGCGGATTAGCTATGGATCGGGCATTGCTGTGGCAACCAACATGATCACAACTCAGTATGGGCCTGAAGCCCACTACTGGACTCACTAACAAGGCACGTGTCATACCAATTTCACCTCGTCAAGATGCAATTGGGCCAATATGTAGGACAGTTCATGTGCTTGATGTGATTGTTGGGTTCAACTTAGAGACCTCCAAATGGATATAATCAGTTCCTCAAAAAAGAAGGGCTTAATCTTAAAGGAAAGAAGCTGGGTGTTGTGAGGAATCCACTTTTGAATCCTTATCATGAAAATCTGTTGAGATAAAAATAAACAAACATATCTTTGACTCTTCTAACATTATTATTTGGTCTTTTCCACTTCAAGGCAAAGAGGTGTAATAGTGGTAGATAATCTAGAAAATATAAGCATCATTCTCAACCCTATCCAAAGTGGTGAAAAGAAGGCCATGGCCATGGTGGCAGAGTTCAAGTTGTCCATCAACGAATATCCGCAGGATCTCGTTTATTCTCCTTTCAAGTCACTAGCTAAAATTATTCAATTCAACATCAATCACTCTCATTTAGTAAATATATAATACTATCGCTTTATTAAAAATCATAAATTTTAATAAGCCTGATTACTAAATTAAGAAAAATACTAGTTAAAGAAAACATAAAATCATTAGAATTATGATTTTTATTTACAGGGATAGAGTGAATATTAAAAGTGTTTTTATCATTCCTTTTTATTTCAAATTCTTCTCGACCACACTCAATACAATAAATTAAAGTTTGATTTTGATCTTTAACACAAGTGCCAAGATTGATTTGATCATCATGACTTGTTTATTTGACATGGGCAAATTTTTTATGGTCTAACGTCATTCGTTAAGAAATTTATTTAAATGTTTATTTTGTTATAAGATTTATAAATAAATTAAATCTATTTTAACTGGTGCTCGATTGATTAAGGAATCAAAATTAATATAAAAAATCATTAAAAAGATGAAATTGATGGAACAAGTATCACAGAAAGGGTTAGAGAAGCTAATGAAGGAGAATGAATTGGATGCGTTGGTGACTTTAGGTGCTGATGCTTCTCGTATGCTAGCCATTGGAGGTTATCCTGCAATCACTCTCATTTGGAAGCAATTTTGGAAGGTTGAAGGGAACTGAGCCAAAGCTCATTGAGATTGCTTATGTCTTTGAGAAACCTACTAAGGCAAGGAAACCTCCTCCCCGATTTTCAGTTTCCTAAAGAAATTTGTGTGTTTGTTCATGTTCTTTTAGAAATTAATTATTTTTTTCAAGCTTTCTTTTAAAGCTAATAAAATGATAATTAGTTTTAGAATAAATTGAAACAGACTCTTGTTCGAAAAATAATACTTATATTAAAGGATTTCTGATCTCAAAATTCATATATATGCATAGTTTTTTTTTTTTAAAGTAACAATAAATATATGTACAACTTTGATTTTCAGTTAAGATATACATTATTATTTTCAATTGTGTATCGAAAATAATTATTTGTTTAGTTGTTAAGTGTTTTAAATAGGATCTTTAATATTTTGACTATTTATTCTTCTATCTTTATATATCAGATTATCACGTAATGTTATAAATAAATTTTTGTTATGTTATCATGTTAAAATTATTAATTAATGACAAGATTGAAACATTGATTCAATGACTCGATTTCTATATCAAAATTACATAATTATAATATTTAAAAGATAAAAAACTAAAAATGCATTTAATTAAACACTCTCTTTGGTCCTTTATATATACTCTATTGGGATCATAAATTTTTTTAGAGTTTTGGATCATAATTTTTAATCATTACATGTTTTTCTAATGGTTGGTTTACGATAATCATATTTATATAAAGGCGGGATAAGGATAAGTTGAAGGTAGAGTTTTATGTAATCATATTAGTGATGACAGAGCTGATTTTTTGAGACTATTCTAATATAGTTAATATAGATGAGTTGTTTGACTGATAACTTAACATTAATATTCAATACTATATTTTGTACATATTTATATACTTGTGTAGTCATGATATTACTTTAATAGTTACTTATATTTCTTTACACATATTATTGTACTTACAAAAAATATATATATATATATATATATTAATCTTAGAAAGTTAGATGTTTTCTGTTATTAATAATTGGTCCATTAAATATAAAAATCATGTGGGTCATTATAGTATTTTATGAAATTAATAATAGATTTTTTTATCAAACTTTATACTATTAAAATATACAACTAACATTTTAATAAAAAGATTAAACATTATTTTTTATAATTGGAATCCTAATAGCACTTTAATTCTAATTATAGACAATGTATTCTGAACTTACAACAGCATAGAATCTACATAAAATAAATAAATAATAAATAACAGATCTTCATCTAATTCATACCATATGTTGATTTCAACTCATTATATCAAAAGAGAGTATATCTGATGGTTATAAAAAAAAATTATGGTAGAAGATTTAATCAACTCTTCCACCTTAATCACGGTCCTCAAACTATTAGCAATCAAGACCCATGAATTAGGGGAGGATTTGATATTGAATAATAATTTTAATTCAATTATAATTTTAAATTTATTACTCAATTATTTTTATAATTTATATTATTTAATTATTAAAATAATTAAATTATATTTTTTTTACACCAATTAATGTATATCTTAATGATTATAAAAATGAAGATATAAAAAATTGATTTAATTTATATATTGTTTAAGAAAAAATATATATATTTTGCAGGCGGGGAATTTTATTTCTGAATCTGAACCCTAGGCCGATTTTTGAAGACAAGAAACATTCGTATCAAATCCACTCAAAACCAATTTTTCCGTCAAAAATCAGATCAGAGTCGAAACCAAGTTCGAGTTTAATTACCATGCCTATAGCTGGTTTTCTCAACTTTATTTTTTTTTTTGTGTTCTGGGTTGGAAACAAAATCAATTCGTGGTGAGTTCATTCATAATATAAATATTTTGTGTCACTGTTAACAAGATTTAGACGAAGAAAATAATCAGAGACACTTTGTTAAAGGAATTGATTGTCATCACCGACATTACGGCTAGAGAAAGGCAAGGTGGGTAGGTGATGGAATGAATTTTTTAAGCATCATGTTCATGGCTGGAGAAACTTGTTCTGGTCAACATTTTCAGCAATTCGTTTCTTGGAAGATGAACCAACTCTTTACATGGATTGCAGCTAAATTACACTACAGTTTACGTTCTCATAGCTTACTTTAAAATTAGGCTTAATAAAATTCTTTCCTAATAATGATTCACGTGGGAGTTAATTTTTTAAAAAATATTTTGTGCAAATTTATTTTTTATTTTTAAAATTGTTATAATCAAGTTTCTCTCTCTCTCTCTTTCATTTTTCTTATTCTTTTTATAAAACTATTTTTAAAGACCACAATTAACTTGATCTTTCTTGAGTTGGAAATAGGAACAACTTTAGTTCGTAACTTCTTCTCCAAAGATAGTGGTACATTAGGACTTGAACTTGATTTCATTGATTAAGTTATAACAACTTTTTATAAACTCTTAATATTTCATTTATTTTTTAAAACAATTAATTAGAGGCTTAGAATGAATGTGAGACAGAAAATTATCAAAAAAGTAAAAAAGAAATGAATATTTGTGCAGAATGTGATGCTAAGATTTTCATAAAGGAAAATTTTGGGTTTTTTTAATTTGTTAAAATATGGTATGATAATGTTTAGTTGGAAAATTTTAAATAAAAGAAGTTTTTGAATAATTTAGCCGGTTTAGTTTATAGAAATTGAGCCAAAAATTGTAAAACTTTCAATGAAAAAAAAAACTAATTATACTTAATTGTATCAACTCGGACTAAAATGAGAAAAAAAATTGCATAATAGTTATAGGTGGATATAGTAAAGTTTTAATTAAACTTGAAAAGTATAGTTTGTTATACATGAAAATAAAGGAGTATTAATAATTACTTAAAAATATTAAATAATACAAAGATATATCAATATATCTTTAGATTGTCCACTAAGCGACTTGATTTTATAACTTACTCAAATCATTTTGTCTTTAAAAAAATTTGAGATACAAGATTACATATTCATTTAGGTCGTTCACCAATGTACCTAATTAATTCTACTACTTTCGCTAATCTTTTTGTTTTCATAAAGACTTTGAGAGTTACGTACCCTCCTATGCCATTTATCAATCGACCTACACCTTCTTAAGTCATGGACTAATCCTTCTAGTTTCATGAATCGATCAAGTACTCGTTATCAAATTCAAGTTTAGAAAAATATTACATTAGGTTGCTAATTGAGCAATTTGAATATCTCATTGGAAACAACCAACTGTGTTGCATAAAGGAGATTGGTTGGTCGTCAAAGATGAAATCTCACATATGATATATTTCCATCATATAGTAAAAAATAAGGAAACTAATTATATAATTAGCATGTGTCACATGATTAGCAAAAACCATGTTGCAATAAGTTAGTATTATAAGGATGTATGTTTTTACTTTCTTAAGAAATAATATCCTTTCAAATTCTTAGGGTTAAAGAGTGGAATTCTAAATGAAGTGCGGCAAATAATAAAAGATGTGATAGTTAATAGTAATTAGGTTTGAATGCTCGACAATAAAACTTTTTTTTTGTATCAATTGAAATAATACTTTCGAATGAGTATGTTTACATAAATGTAATAGGACTTAAATTTTATTCTAGTTATTATTAATGTAATATTCTTTACGCATTTAAAATTAGAAAAAGAAAAGGTTAAAAGATGTTTTTAATTATTCAAACCTTATTATGACTTGTTTAATCAACATTAGTTATAAATTATTTGGAACAAGGTTTGTATGAAAAGATGCATAACCAATGTTGACGAAGAATACTAAAACATAAAGTTAATTGGCACATTGCATTGCTGTAATATTACTTAAATTTGTTGTCACATGGGGGAAGTGTAAGAGTCTGGAGTCTTGACTTGTTGTTGCTGTACCACACCAACATATTCAAAACCACCATTTTATTAACTTGTCTCACCTTTTCGCCAGTTGCTAAAGCAGCTAAACGACCACGGTACCTCCCATTTACAAAAGAATTAAACATATAAGTGGACCCCTTAACCTTGGAAAAATTATCGTTCTATGATGTTGTTAAACGGCCCTTTGAATTTGTGTTCCATGCACTTAGAGAAAAAAAAAAAAAAAAAAAAAAACACGCGTGACAAGTGTGAATTGTAACAATCTCTCTATATATATATATATATATAGAAGTAGCACTGCCACTAGAGGGGAAACGCAGAGAGAAGGAAAGTGATCGATCATTGATCAAAGATGGTAAAGCAAAGCGTGGTGGTGATGATGGTGGTGACAATAAGCATAATGGGTGGTGCAACTGGAAATGCAATGCGAGTGAAACTGAAAGCAGGGAATTGGGGTGCAAGTTTTGAAGGAGAGAAGAAAGAAACGCTGACCAACCTTCAATTCTATTTCCACGACACGCTCAGTGGGCGAAACCCGACTGCGGTTCGGGTGGCTGAACCGGTCGACAAAACCAAGTCTTTCATCACCCTTTTCGGCTCAATCATGATGGCGGATGACCCGTTAACAGAGACATGGGACCCCAAGTCCAAGATAGTGGGCCGGGCCCAGGGTCTTTATGGGTCATCGTGCCAGCAGGAGGTTGGGCTTTTGATGGCCATGAGTTACTCCTTCAGTGACGGGCCATACAATGGAAGCTCCTTCGCCCTTCTTGGGAAAAACTCGGCCATGAACCCGGTTCGTGAGATGCCTGTGGTGGGTGGCACGGGGCTCTTCCGCATGGCACGTGGCTATGCCATCGCCAAGACTCATTGGTTCGATCCCACCACCGGTGATGCCATTGTTGGCTACAACGTCACCCTCCTTCATTAAACTTATGTTGCTCAACTACTTTTTTAATATAACTTATCCAACTACATTATAAAATATATGGGTATGTTCTATGCAGTTAATAGTTACCGTCTTCGCCTACCACTCTTTTTGTATGTACTCATCTTTTCTTTTTCTACATCACTTTCATCCTTCAATAAAACCTTTATTACTTCTCTTTATGCCTTCTTTTTTTATATATATTATATATAGAGCTATTTGGTACGAAGCTTTAATACACAAATGATCTGAAATTATTAACTCATGCAGATACGTGTTTTACTGATTTTGGGTAATAAATTAAAAAATACAATTGTGAAATCAAATTAAAAAAATCCAAGTCATTCCAACACCAGTTTTACGCAAAAAAAAATTGTACCAATTTCAGTCTTATTAAGTTATTTAACGAATACAATATTTTGCCTTTTTCATTGTCATGGGTTGTCTGTCTTTAAAATATTGGACTATTGTTATTCCGTAGCCATTTTCTTTAATTTTTTAATCTAATTAGACATGTACTTTCTAACGGTGTGTTTAATTAATAGAAGAAAGAAATAGAACCAGAGAAGGAGAAGAGAAAATAAATTAGTAAGATATAAAATGGAATAAAAGTTGTTTGGTTAAAAAAAATAACAGCGAAAGTTAATTTTTAGAAAGGTTATTTAATATAAAAAGTAGTAAATGAATATTACTATTATTATATAAATATAATCATAATTATTATGTTTATTTTGTTATTCTTTGGTGTGTCTGTGTTGGAACCTGGAAGGTGGCTTGAATCTATCAAGAAAATATGGAAAGGGGTGGGAATAATCAATAGAGAAAATATGAGAAGGGAGGGGCAATCCTAATCAATGAATAAGGAGAAACAAATAAATAAATAAAAGATAACATAATCCATTAAATGTGTGCTTAGTCTCTAAAAATAGTGGAGGTAGGAGGAAAAGGATTAGCAAATCACTAAAACGCGCATTTTATTCAACATGAAAAATTAGAAGGCTAAAACTGTAGTAGGATGGGGACGATGACTTGTCATTTTAGGTTATTGAAAGTTGAAACAACGAAATTTCACGTTGACATGTCAGTTTCACAGATCCCGGGGCAGGCTAGTAGGAAAAGTTGAGATTCGATGTGTAAAATTAAAAGAGCACCCGAAGATGTGCTAACTCTAGAAGATTAGCATGTTCCATGCGTTCGCATTTCAAATAAGATAATAATGCAATCACTAACGACAAGCACCTAACGATGAACCGCTAGGTACACATAAACAGCGAAAAAGCGAACAGTACATAAATCTATCTCATTGCCCTTGTCGAGCAGGTTCTTTTCTCTCCGACTTGTCCACTAGTTCTTGTATCACACTTAACGACCATTTTGCATCAAGGACTGCCATAAAAGGCCGAGAAGAAAAAAATGCCCCATCACAATCAATAATTCATGAAACACTATTCAGTCATTCATTTATGGAAGGGTAAAAAGAAAAGCTCGACATCTTTTGGAACTTCGTTGGCAGAGTCCCAATGACATTTTCTAATCATTTAAAGTAGCAGTTGTGTTAATTTAGATGAGATAATAGACACATACTAAAGGTACTGCGACGTAATACCTAAGAGCACAAACTGCTATGAGAGAGTAGAGAAACCGAAAAAGTACAAGTGACAACATTCTAAGAAAAAGGAGAAGAATTTACAAGGTAAAATTTAAACATATACGCAGATGACAAGAATAAAATGATGTAATACTTGGAGTTCAGCATCATAATAGAACAAAAACACCAGAAGAAAACAGCTAGCAGGAAAAACTACAACTATATGATCAAATGAGACAAACATTTGAGTATAGCAAACATAACGAAATTCACTATCACTCATTTCATGAAAGATGCCATCTTTAAGTCATTCCCTATTACCATGCGAGTGCTGAAGCTCAATTAAACTAACAATATCATCATCATCATCATTGCCCAAACTGCAATTGTTGAGGATAACCAACAAGTTTCCTTACGAGAGGGACGAGAGCAATCAAAGCAATTTGAAGCTGTTCTGAACTATTCAAACGGATACTTATTTGTCCTGCCCCTCGGTTGTTCAAATTAGCCCGCACAACAAGGTTTGTATGTCTTCCAACTGGGATCTGGGATTGCACATTGCACCCAACAGCAAGATCTCCATGCCAATCCATAACAGAAAGCCCAAGCGTGGATAAGAAACGACCTAGAGGGTAATCCTTATCTCTCAATTGGGCCTCCAAACTGCCACCATAAGCAATGTCGCCACGCCCTGCCATTGCACCACCACTTATAACTAATTTGAATCGCTTACTAGCAACCAATTTGTCTTCAATCTTCATTCCAGCTGATAAAGCATCACCAAGTAAAGTACACGAGAGGCCAGCAGTTGCATTATTTCTTCTAAAATTAGTAAATCTTGTCTCACTGCGTAACGTATAAGCTAAGTCCTTCCCCACAGTTTGCAAATCAAAACCTAATGAAGTTGCTTTCCCTTCCCCATGCTTAAGTGAACCGGCTATTTCCATCTGAACATTCGCATCTTTTTTATCCTTAGTAACCTGACCCGTGAAAGATAAAGGTATCTTGTCCTTGACAACGAACAATCTTTCTACATTCAACCCTTCATAACCCACATCATGATCCCATCCATGAGTTTCTAGAACAGGTCTTACAAGCCACTGGTTTGATGAATCAAGATATCGATACCGATGAGTGGGATTGTCTGAATCAAAAGAAGCAGGCAGGGCCAAATCTGGCATGGGAACAGGAACAGAAGCTGCACCCCCACTTTCTTCTTCCACATTTTCGCTATAGTCCATCGGCTGATGTTTTGCTGATTCTGCCATTTTCTTCATCATTTTCCGTCGCTTTTTTTCTTCCTTCAATTGTTTCTTCATTAAAAGCTTTTCTCTATACTCTAACTCATCAAAATATGCTTTCTTATGAGCTTTAGACAGCTTTTCCAACTGGGCCTTAGTTAAAGGTTTAAATGGTGGTAAGTCATCATGTTCAGTTTCATCATCAGACTCTGATGATTCATCAAGGTCGTCATCAAGACTGTCCTCATCACCAAACTGCTCCTCTGGCAACTTTAATTGCGGTCTTGATTGGAGAAGGGTTGACAAAAGAAAAGGTAATGGAGGTGCTCTTGCTCGAGCTGTAAAAGGCTTCCCAGGTGGACTATCTTGTAACTTGAGAAGAGCATTTGCTTCAGCCAGAATTTTGGAGGCAAAAGATAGAAGTAACAAATGAGGTTTCCAAACCTGACCATTAGGCAACACTCTCTGACCAGCCCTATTTGTTCGGCATGCAGAGTGATTCTCCACCAATGATACAGGATTCATGAGACGCATGTCACCAGCTGCTTGACGAATGGCTTGCTGTACAACATGTGACCGCTGAGTAACAAACATGTCATAACTGGAAACAGTACCATTAGGGCCTTCAGGAGGAGCAGATGCGGCATGAGTCAGAACCACAATGGCATTAAACCAAATGGATGGCCCAAAAATTTCTGTAATTGTGCGTAAGAGTGGCATATCACTAAAATCCCTGCTCTGCATATCTAACCTATCAAGGTACAACACAATATCAGGTGGCGTTTTCTTAATGAAGTTCTTAACAGAAAGCAGGATCTTCTCATTACTTCGCTGGTCTGACCAGGAAGGCAGAAGTCCCGGCGTATCAATGACCCGTACCTTAATGCCCTGCACTGTTCCCACAACATCCTGAACCTTCTTGGTTCCCATGTGGAAAGCACTGGTATTGAACTTAACCTCATCAAAAATAGAATTGATGGTAGCACTTTTACCTACTCCAGTCTTTCCAAGGACCATTATTGTACAAGAAAAATCAAGTGGCTCCTGACCAGCAGCTTCAAGCTGCTCAGCCATTGCACTTGCACGATCAAAGCTAAAAGCACCAACACGCCCTCCATTCCTTCCTCTGAGTTGCTCAGCCAGCCCTAATCTATATAAAACTTGAGCTACAACAACATTATGGGGAGTTTGGCCAAGCCTATGAGCCAACCGTAAAAACTTCACCCTGATCATCTGAAGTTTCTCACGCGTCTCATCATACTCCTCAGCCTCCCCAGTTGAGGAGTCCTCCATTTGCTGAGACTGATTATTAGATACAGTACCATTAGTGCGAGGCTGCTGGGCTACCCGAGATGCTGGTTCCGGCAATGGGGCTGCACGACCAAGGCCAGCTGGACGTACAGGAGGGGGCCCAGCACCAGCAGATCTTTCATTTGAAGAGCGAACAGGAGGAGGCCCAGTACCAGCAGACCTTTCAGATGGAGAATAAATATTTGCTGCAGGCTGATCATGCTCTCCAGTCACTTGAGTGGTTTCCATCTGTTGTATAATATTCTCCTGTATCCTTTCAGGCTCCTCAACCACAGAAGAGTTGCCATGATCTATATGCTCTTCATCAGAAATCTTAGATTGGTCATCCTTATTACTTGCTTCCTTTGGATTAGCTGCACTAGCCTCCTGAATAGGCTGAGTCTCATTAATAGAGGAATTTTCCAAAAAGGAATCCCCATTTCCATAATCTCTTAATTCAGTATTCTGACCACAGACACTAATTTCTTCCCCATTTCTATCCTCGTGGTTTATGTCAGTGCCCAGAGAATCATCCTTCACAATATCCCTGATTACTTCATCTTGAGGTTCTAAAATCATGTGAGTTGAATTGTCGTTTACTACTTCACATGTATCATCTTGAATCTCACCAGAAGGATTAGCTGAAGCATTTACCTCTATTTTGTCATCTCCAAACTCAGGATCTGAGCCAAACTCCTTCAAATCCTCAGCAGCATCAGTACCTTGGGTTGGGATCACCTCACTGGATTCAGATTCCATAGTAGCCTCAGTAGCAACCCCATCCACCTTGTCTATGCTTCCAGTGTCTAATATTATATCACCATTTGCTCTAGGAGTCATGAATTCCGAATCATCAATTTCAGCCTTCTCACTCACCAAACCAGAGTTTCCATCCACATTAGCACCATTCTCCTTGACTAACATCTCTCTATCAGAATTTAAACCAGACTCTTCCTTTCCACCACTCCATTCACTACTCTCCAGATTATCCTCCCCCGTACCATGGGACACATCCCCAAATTCCCCATCTCCAGACACGCCAGTATCAACACCATCCAGCTGAACACTATTAATTCCCAGCTCATCAGTTTCCCCCAGTATCCCAGACTCGGTATCCGCCGCAAAAGGCTCCTCAGAGAAGCCAGGTTCCTTCGCCGCATCCGAACTTTCATCCACCAATGATGAAATCAATGCAACACCGGTATCGGTATCTTGGTGTTTATCAATTACAACATCCTCCGGATTGAGTTCGGATCCTTGATCATAGACATACTCCCGTGGCTCCATTGCCTCCTGAAAAACCTCCTCTACTTCTAAACCCTTCAATTTATCAGACCCCATTATAGTCTCCTCAGAAACCCCTTCACTGACTCTCTTGCTCTCTCCCTCGCCATTGCCATCGAAACCAACCGCCGCATAATCCATCGCAAGTCACTCAAAAACCCTAGATTCATGAAAGAGGGGCGAAATCAGAAAGCCATACATAAACCCACAGATATGGTTGGGGCAGCGCAAGGAAGCACGTGATTGCAAGTTTAGACAACAATAATACTAGTAATCCATTAAAATCGAGGGGTAATACAAATTAAACGATTGAGATAGTGGAAAGAATTATGTATAAATAAAAAAAAAAAACAAGAGCGTTGAGAGAGAAGAGCAATGGAATGAAGAAATGAGAAGGATTAGGGTTTAGCATAAAAAAATAAATAAAAGAAAGATTGAATAGAAAGTAGAACATAGAAGAAAGGCTAACCTGTGTGGTATGGGTGGATTACAGAGAGGGAGAGGTGTGAGTTAGGGTGAAATGGAAGGGAGTAGTAGAACTATTCATAAGACGAGAGTTTCTTTAGTTTTGGGTTTGGGGTTAGCGATAGTAAAGTGGAGTGAAATAAAAAAAGATAAGGGGAGATGAACGGATGGAGATGGGGGAGAGGGATCTGGATCGGACGGTGGGGAGCGGTGCATAGGAATCGTCGTCAAATACGCCAATCATGGTGACGTGGATGAAAAGGGTGGCTTTAGCTTCACATGCCAGACCTATTACCGTCCCTCGATATCCACACTTGAAAGTTGAAACATTGATTATCGACACTCTACATCCCAACGCACTATTATTTAATCACCCATGCATCCACCCTTACCCTATAATACTGCATCAATTTCCTTCCTTCCTCAAAAATTAAAAAGAAAAACACAACGAAATAAGTTGTTGATTGTTTTAGCTTTTTAATTTAATATTAATTTTTGGAATTATATTTCTAATAATATTTTTAAAATTATTGTTAAATTATATTTATAATAATAATAATAGCTGTCAAAAAAATAATGTTGATTTTTTTTAAATTATAAAAATTTCTTTTATCTATTTTTAAACCAAAATATTTATAATCATATATAAAGATAATATGCTTTTTTTTACACTTTTTAAGACATTTTTGCTCTCATAATTTCCTTGAAGTCACTCGTATAACTTATATTATTTATTTATTTAATTTTACCCTCATATACAACCTTGAAATCACCTATGTATTTTTATTTATTTATTCTCTTTGACAGAAAGTTTGAGTTTATTTCAAAATCTATCTCCTTATATTCAAATGTTTTTTACTTTCGATATTTCAACTATATTTTTCTTTCATAACTTTTACTTTAGACTTTTAATTTTAACTGTACAAAAAATATAAAATAATTATATTCGGTATTAAATATCAGTGGAATTAAATGTCATTAGAATATTTTAGTAGTATATTTTTAATTTGATGAAGAAAACATAAAATTATTTTTATTTTTATTAATATATATTTAGATTTGAATTAAGTTAATATTGAATATATATCTAATGTTTTTTTATCATATATATATATATATATAGGGGAATGTTAATATATTCTCACCTATTTTTTAGTGGGAGTATGTTAACAACTTACACAAAAATTTTAGGACAAAAAAATCACTCATTTCTTTTGATTTAATTAATTCGTACAAAAGATATTATAGTAATTTAATTTAATTTAATTTAATTTTAAATAAAAATAAAATATTTTCTCTCTCTCTTATTAATTTCATTCTCCAATTCATTAATAAGAGAAAAAAATGACTTAGAAAATGAGGTTAATAAGAGAAAAAAAAATATTTTAATTTAATTTAAAATTAAATTAAATTACTATAATATCTTTTATACAAATTAACCAAATTAAAAGAAATTAGTGACTTTTTTGTCTTAAAATTTTGGTGTAGTTTGCTATTATACTCCCACTAAAAATAAGTGAGAGTATATTAGCATTATCCATATATATATATATATATATATATATTAAAAAGATATTTTAAATCAGGGTGATTATATTATTTTAAATTACATAATTAAAATTGTAAAATATATGCAATTAAAGAAACAATACATAAATAATTATTATTATATATACTTCAATTAAATAATTAAAATAGTTATACTAAATATTACTACATATCTTCCTATATATATGACTCGAGTACTTAATTCACTAAAATTATAAAAATAAAAAAAATAGCTAATTTACTTTATAACAATAAATTTATTTTATTTATAATTTTTTTCTAAAATTACTCTAATATTACTTATTTTTTCTAATTAATACTCGTATAATTTTAATCAATTATAATACATGTCTTATACATTTTATCTCTCATAATTATACTTTTATTTCTTCTAACTAATTAGAGAGTATATTGTTTAAAAAGTTTGTAATTAATGTATTTATCAAATTAAGATAAAATGCATTAATTGAGAGTGTATTTCAGTATAAAAATAATTAATCTATGAGATGATATGAATTGATTCTTATATGAGACAATTGTTCTAAGTTGAGTTTTATAAATATGAATGAAGGTAAAATAATTTGGATTGTTGTTTTGTTACTTCCAAAATGTTCCATTGTGAATAGTTTTTTTTTTCTTTCAAAAATGTTCATCTCTAGTAACTTTTTTTAGGGTTTATAGTTTTTTTGTTATTTTTTGCAAATATTATTTTCATTACTGATATATATTGTTATGGAAAGTAATTCTCAATATTCATCAAAATGATATATGTTTAAAAACATGAAATTCAATAAAATTTAACATAGTGACACACCATATATACACAATAATATTTTATAAATAAAATTCAATGAAATTTAAGGGAGTCACACATCATATAAGTTGACTTGGGAGGATGATAAAAGTAAACTAAAATATGATATGGAGTATATAGTCAGATATTTTGAAACAAAATGTAAAATATATGAACACCGAACACAATTTGCAACACAATACTACATAAAGAAAAACCTACATTTTCATGTAACTTTATTGAAATATAAATCCATTACTTTTATAAAAGTTGTAGTATTGTGAGTAAGAATAGTAAATAAGGCTTAATTACACTTTTGGTCCTCCTAATTTAGTGTAGGAGCAATTTTGGTCCACATAATTTTTTGAATTGCTTAATTTTGGTTCATAAATTCAAATAATGGGCAATTTTAGTCACACAAACAAGTTACCGTCCAAAATTTAACAGACGTTAATAATATGAATTTTATGATAAATAAACATTAATTATATATTATTTAATTTATTACGTATCAAATTATTTAATATTCAAATTTTAAAAATTTTAAATTCAAATTCGTTTTCTCATCCTCCGTACCATTTCCTTTGTTTCTTCACCAGCACCCTCGTCAGCAATGTCGTGTACTCCTCCAGCACCTTTGCCACAATCGCCACCAGTATCATCTCTTTCCAACAATCACTGCGAGAATTTTTTACTGAAATAAATTTTTTTAATTTTTTTTTACCAAAACAACATTTGTTCCAATTTATTTACAGAAGTAGCATCTTTTACTATTCATGCTCAGAATTCGGTTCCCGGAACACCGAATTCTGAGTAGTGTTAAAGTTTTTTTTTTCTTCTGTTTGTAGTTCAGGTTGTGTGTTAATGTTACAATTGAAATGACCCGTTCTCCAAGTAGAACGGGTCGTTTTGCTTGCACGCGTAGTCTGTTAATTTTGAAACGGGAACGTCCAAGCAGAACGACCTATTTTAATCCATTCGTCATGTGTGTGTTTTTGCATCCGGAACGACCCGTTCTAAAAGGAGAACGAGCCGTTCTGCAAGTAATGCATGGAGAACGGGCCGTTCTGCAAGTAATGCATGGAGAACGGGTCGTTCTGAAAGGAGAACGGGTGTTCTAGATCCAGTTTTACACCATGCTCAGATCCAAAACTAAAAAAATATATATATATTTTAGAGAAAAATTCTCACTGCGATTGATATCAATACCCTTTTCATTTTGTTTTCAATGTTATTTGAATTTAAAATTTTGAAATTTTGAATATTAAATAATTTGTCACGTAAGAAATTAAATGATATATAATTAATGTTTATTTAGTCTAAAATTCACATCATTAACGTCTGTTAAATTTTGGATGGTAAATTGTTTGTGGGACTAAAATTGTCCATTATTTAAATTTATGGACCAAAATTAAGCAATTCAAATTATGAGGACCAAAATTACTCCTACACTAAATTAGGAGGACCAAAAGTGCAATTAAGCCAATAAATAAAGGAGCAAAGACAAAGGTTCAAAAGTAAGATTTTAAGAATAAACAAATATGGAAGTGTTAAAGATGGGATTTACAATATAATAAACATGGGTGAGAAAAAAATTATAAGGGTATATTCAATAATAAAGAATATAATAAAATATGAGTTAATCATTCATACACTGCCAGTGTAAATTTTTTTACACTGACAACTAATCATATCTTTTAAATTATTTTATTTTATTTTTTGTTTCATTAAATAAGCAACTGACATGACATTATTAAAATATATGATTGATTGCTAATGTAAAAAAACTTTACAGTGACAATGTATAAGTGATTAACTCATAAAATATTAGAGTTAATTTTGCAAACTCAAACCCCTAATCAAAATCCAATAATTATGAGGACAATATGGGATCAATATGATTTGTTAGTCTAATATATTAATGGTTAAAATATTTTTTTTATTTTTATAATTTTATTTATTTTATCTTTTAGTCTTTTATTGTTTGAAATAAACTTTTTTAATTTTTAGATTTTTTTTCAATATTTTTTTTATTCTCTATAGTTTAAGTAATTTTTTAATCCCTATATTTATAGTTTTTAATTTTTTTAATCCTTATATTTAATTTTTTGTAATATTGTCTCTTTTGTATTAATGTGATAGATGTATTAATTCAATTTTATGTGTTTGATATTAAATTTATTTTGCTAAAGTTACTTTAAATTAAATTGCTCAATATTTCATGCATCTTTTATAATTTTACATGTGATATTCATTGAGACACATTTTTCTTTTACTCTCGTAAAATTAAAGACTGATTACATAAATATAAAATAGGAAACATTACAAAAAAATAATAATATGGAGTAAAAATATTAAAAAAAGAAAACTACAGATATAGAGACTAAACAAAAATTATCTTAAACAATATGGATTGAAATTATTAAAAAAAACAAATACATGGACTAAAATAATCTATTTTTAAAATGTAAGGATTAAAAGGTAAAATAAATGAAGTTATCAAAACTAAAAAAAGTATTTTAATTTATATTGATTTTAGCATTACACGTGATTAAATTAAGAAATTTAAAAAATCACAACTATGATTAGAGTATATTTTATGATATGTATTTTAAGATAAATAATATCAATATAAATATAATATTATATTAGATAAAATGGATTTATTAATTAAAAAATTATATTATTAATATATTTATTTTAAATTTATTAAATATATGATATTAGAATGAATTGGGATGACTTAAAAAAAATCCAGACTTGTCAAATATCTCACATTGAATCTAATTTGTTTAACTCGAAATTGTTAAAAATCCCTTTAGATTTAGTCAAATTAGCAAGACAAGTTAGGTTATGATAACTTTTAGTTCTTAATATATATATATATATATATAAATATAATGTAAATAACAAAAGTATTTCTAATTTATCATCACTAAATGGGCTAGCTTGTTTATCCAATCTCATTTTTTGACTCCCGTTTTTTACGGGTTAGTAACAGGGAGGTAAAAAATAGGACAAGCAAACTTATTTTATCATCCTTACATGTGGTTATCACTTATCAATATTGCACAAAATATGTTACCTAGCATTGTTTAATCGATGATATTAATGTAAAAATGATGGCTAGAACTAACATATTAGGGGAATTTGATTTTAGATATTTATTTGATATTTTTTAATTTCGGAGACTATCATAACAACATTCAATAATTTCAAATGATAATTTATTATTCATATTGACAAAATTAATTTAATAAATTAAATTTAAAAAATATGTTAAATTATTCTATCGAAGTCAATAGCTAAACTTTTTAATTTAAAAATAAAATATAGGTACAATTTTTTAAAATGCAATTAGTGTTGTTCTCAATTAGAATTAAAATTTTATTTTAATAATATGCATAAATATATATTATAGAGTTATAAGGTCTCTATTAAACTTGGATAGTTAACTTGTTCATTCTATAATCAATTTTGATCATTACTAAAATGATGTTTAGCTTGTTAAAGTTACATCTCGTAAGTAAATGTTAGTATTTTTTTTGTTATCTACATGATTTTTTTTATGAGCTAATATTATAATAAAATATTGTATATAGTAAAACACATTCTAACTCATTGATAAATATTGTTTTTACTGTAAAATATAGTTTAAAAGCTTAAATTATTTTTAGTTGAGGTTAACACGGTTCTGTTAAAGCACGGCGCAGGCATTGTTGACGCATATTGGTTTTGGCAAGATCCACCGTCCATGGTGGCCGGAGCTGCTTCAACGAATCCACCATTAAACTCTCCTTCCACTTCCATTTCCTATTCTCATTCATCGTCGCAGACATAGATGATGAAGTTGTTCACGTTACAGTCTCACACTTCATATTCACATTCACATTCACATGGTCTTTCTCTTCAATGTCAATGCCATCCCCAACCCTCAAACCCTCCAACCTCTGCATCGTCAAGCCCCTCCTCTCCAACTCCTCCCTCTCCGACGCCGTTTCATCTCTCGACCTGTTGCGCCTCAAGGGCATTCGCTTACCCTCTCACATTCTCGCCACCCTCCTGCGCCACTGCTCCAAAACCAGGTCTTACAAAGAGGGCAAGTTGATTCACCTCCACTTGAAGCTCACCGGCTTCAAACGCCCCCCAACGCTTCTCGCCAACCACTTGATCTCCATGTACTTCACCTGCGGCGATTTTGCTCAGGCACGCAAGGTGTTCGACAAAATGGAGGACAAAAATTTGTACACTTGGAACAATATGCTTTCTGGGTATGCTAAATTGGGCATGATGAAGCAAGCTAGGAGCTTCTTTTACCAAATGCCTCACAAGGATTATGTATCTTGGAATTCGATGGTTGTTGGGTATGCCCACAGTGGTAGGTTTGCTGAGGCTTTGAGATTATATCGGCAGTTCAGGAGACTGAATGTGGGGTATAATCAGTTTAGCTTTGCCAGTGTCTTGATTGTTTCTGTAAAGTTGAAGGATTTTGAACTTTGTAGGCAGATACACGGGCAGGTTTTACTTGTTGGGTTTTCATCTAATGTGGTTATATCCAGCTTAATTGTTGATGCTTATGCCAAGTGCGGGAAGACGGAAGATGCGAGGAGATTGTTTGATGACATGCCTGTGAAGGATGTTCGTGCGTGGACGACATTAGTTTCGGGTTATGCTGCGTGGGGGGACATGGAATTGGGTGCTGAATTGTTTAGTCAGATGCCCAAGAACAATTCCTGTTCCTGGACATATTTGATTAGGGGTTACGTTAGAAATGGTATGGGTCACAAAGCACTTGGAGTGTTTAGAGAGATGATCAAGCATCAAGTTAGACCCGATCAATTTACATTCAGTACTTGCCTCTCTGCTTGTGCCACTATTGCTTCACTGAAGCATGGTAAACAAATACATTCATTTTTGGTGCAAAATAACATCAAACCTAATACTATTGTCGTTTGTGCTATTATTGACATGTATTCGAAATGTGGAAGCTTGGAAACTGCCAGGCGAGTATTTGATTTCATTGGAAATAAGCAGTACGTAGTGTTGTGGAACACGATGATATCAGCACTGGCTCACTATGGCTATGGTATTGAAGCAATTATGATGCTAAATAATATGCTAAGATCAGGAGTGAAGCCAAACAGGGGCACTTTTGTTGCCATTTTAAATGCTTGTAGTCATTCAGGTCTTGTCCAGGAAGGGCTTCAGTTATTCAAGTCCATGATTACTGAGCATGGTGTCGTCCCTGACCAAGAACATTATGCATGCTTAACTGATCTTTTGGGTCGAGCTGGATGTTTTAACGAATCAGTGAAGGATCGGCAGATGATGGATTATAAGCCAGGTGACCATGTTTGGAATTCTTTGATGGGTGTATGTAGAATGCATGGAAAAGAAGTAGCTGTATTCCTTATTAAATTGCAGCCACAATCCTCTGCTGCCTACGAATTACTTTCAAGTATATATGCTGCACTTGGGAAACCGGAATTGGTTGAGAAAATAAGACATATCTTGGAGGAGAAACAAGTGAGGAAAACATCAGGCCATTAGTTGGATTGAAATTGATAATAAGGTTCACTTCACCGCCTTAGATGTGTCACACCATCTGAAGGAAACGACATACTCAGCTTTGAGGCACTTAAGTAACCCCATGGAAAACCGTGCCCCATTACCTAACTTTGGAATGTGATAGTTGGAGGTTTTTTCTCCAGTAGATCATTTTTGTAGAGAGCAGGAATTTATTTTCAATTTACTAAGTCATTATTTAGTTTTTTCTTTTTCACTTTCTTTTTTGCTGATATCAGATTCTGCAGAATTAAACTTCAACCTTGTTATACTTAAAAAAAGATGTTTCCTCTAGCAAAACCGAGGAACGACAACAAGGGTGGGTGGTAAGAACTGAAGAAGACAGTTCATTTTCATGAAAGATTTCTTGCTTCCTTTATTTCACCCATTGTTTTGTTTTGTATTTTTCACCAACTGAATTAAATAAGAATTTTTTTTACCTACCAACGATCTTTCGTATTTTTTCGACAAATCCCTTTCTTTAATATCGCGACTTGGGAATTTGATCGTAAGAGCTTGACGATGGAAATCGGGAATGCTAATTGTGAAATGACAAATCAAATTCCAAATGGTCATTGTTAGGTGGATACTGTATGACGTCGAGTAGCAGATCACTCGAGAGTCCCGAGATTCCTGTGCGAGCATTTGATGAAGAGTTCACGTTGTTCTTGTTTACATATATTTATCCTTGTTAGGGGTCTCTGAAATGCTTCATGTTGAATCACACAGGGGTCGGTGAAGAATTCTATGCCAGTAAACTGCAAGCGTTGTTTTGACAGTTTGTTATTTTATGCAAGGTTCAGGGAATTGAATTGAATTGGATTGGATTCCTCGTAAGATTTTTTTTCCACCTATAGGAGCAGGAGCTTACAGGGCATCTATTATCTATATTAATATAAAGAAAGATTGGATCATGCATTTGCGTATCATGTATGATAATATGCACTATTTTTAAGAAAGGCATTGAGTCTGTTATAAACTTTCGATTTGATTCATGTACGCATGTAGAGCTAAGAGGTAAACGACTGAAGATACTTGCTTTATATTTTTTTAATATATATTTTCTTCTTATATATACAAAACGTGACAGTGGACAAACATGAACAGAAATCAAAAGTAAGCGAGACAAACCACGCCAAGGTCCAAAACCAGGGGGTGAAACTTAAACAAATGAGCTCTGGTTTTGATATAGTTTGAGGCTCTTGCTTGTAAGTTACGAGCAAATCTGGAACAAATTCTATATAGCTTATACAACTAATACCATGTGTCTAATTATATTGGTCTGATTCATTAGTTTCTTAACATTCTCTCGCAATCACAGATAAATCTGTCTGTCAAGGAGAAAAATTAATGTCTCATCAAGAATTAAAATTGGTCATACTTTTTCTTTTCAACACGTGACCATATTCTCTCGATTAAAATTGTCTTAATAAGTGCATAAACAAAATCAAATACCAAGTCAGAGACGCCACAACAACCATACAAGTGGACTAAACAATAATACATTCTCGATGATATCTCCTTGCCAATAATTTGAGCGAAGTTTCCCACGACGTTAAAGACAACAGAATGTTAAGAGAGGAGGCCTTCTTCGAGATAACCAAAAAGTAAAAACAAATGAGTGAAGAAAGCACAAGAATCATTTCATATTTCCCAATCTTTGTCCAATTCAACAAAGTCCATTCCCATTGATTAAAAAAAAAATCCTTTCTCACGATACCATGCCTTATTATATTGAATCCCACCACAACCAGCAACAGCTAACTACTCCAACAAGAACAACAAAAGAAGAGGAAAAACAAGGAATTCCTGTTCTTCTTGTTGTCCATCTCCTCATCCTTGATGGGTTCTCAGGTCTCGAAGCAGGTTGAGAGACGAAAGGCAATCCACACAGAGAAAAAAATTCTGTCTGATCTGAGAAACTCCGGCGAAGACTACCCTGGCTCAGATTACCATCCCTCGGACAGAAAAAACTGGATGTCAGAACTGACCCCAGAGAAAGTTGAGATAAGAAAGATTGTTTGGCCTGGAACACATGATTCTGCGACCAACAAGATTGGCATCCCATGCATCACTCGCCCTTTTGCTCAATGTCAATCCTTGTCCATCTACCAACAACTCGTGATGGGGACAAGACTGGTTGACATTCGGGTGCAGGAGGATCGCAGAGTCTGCCACGGTGTCCTCCTCACTTACAGCATCGACGTTGTCATCAAAGATGTCAAGAAGTTCTTATCAGAAACTCAGTCCGAGATCATCATCCTTGAGGTTACAGCTTACAACCTATGAATCTCTCTTATTTTATTTTCCTTCACCTATCTATGTATCCAATGCTGAATTTACAAAAATCCAATACTACATGAAACATACAAGCATGAGTGTTCCAGTCGACAGATAGTTCTATCGCCGGAACATTTAAGAATGAAAGTAAAACTTGTTTATGTCTGCCTAGCATGCCTGTAATATATTTGTTTTGTCTGGTTTAACTTCCTATCTCTTATATCTAATAATTTCGATCGACCATTATCTATTGAAGTATCGTGTCTTATATAACCAACTTATCAGGTGATATATTCGCTTCAACGTGAGAAATAACTATTATCGTCGTAACTAATCTTTCATAATTTATCTTTAGATATGCTATTCAAATAATTATTGTGTGGACGTGATGTGTAGGTTAGTCCGTTGAAAATCCAATGTGATACATAGTTCGGCCAGTTCTCAACCTAGGAGAATACATACCATAAGATTATAGGAACATTCTCTCTTGGTGAAGCAAAATAAAAATTGTACTCTCAAAGGAATAAAATCGATAGTACTACTCCAATTTGTAAAGAGTAAGAAGTAATTTATTATGATAATGATACTGATTTATAACCTTTTATTTTCAGTTATGTCTGAGAAATATGTTCTTAATTTTGATCAACAAAATTGTAATCATGTATATCACACATTCACACTTGCTGTATCTTTGATATATTTTTAGAATGTATGTGATATATATACATGACATATCTTTCTTTGACAGGTTAGAACCGAGTTTGGGCACGAGGACCCTCCTGAATTCGACAACTACCTGGAGGAACAACTAGGAGATTACCTAATTCCCCAGGATGATAAAGTTTTTGAAAAGACCATAGCAGAGGTGCTACCAAAGAGAGTTATATGCGTTTGGAAGCCAAGTAAAACGCCACAGCCTAAGGCAGGGAGTCCTTTGTGGAGTGCAGGGCAGTTGAGGGATAACTGGATCAACACTGATTTGCCATCAACAAAGTTTGAGAGCAACATGAAGCATCTGAGCGAACAGCAACCTGTTACGTCCCGAAAATACTTCTACAGAGTGGAGAACACCGTTACACCGGTGGCGGATAACCCCGTCCTGTGTGTGAAGCCTGTCACTAGACGCATTCATGGCTATGCCAGGCTCTTCATCAGTCAGTGCTTCGCCAAAGGGTGTGCAGATAGACTTCAGGTTTTTTCCACGGATTTCATTGACAAGGATTTCGTTGATGCATGCGTTGGACTCACACGTGCCAGGGTTGAGGCTAGAGCTTGAAACCTCCATTTGCTACTTTCTTTTTCTTCTTCTTGCTTTTGTCTGCTTTCTGTATCTGGATCATGGTTGATAGGGCTACCACCTATTAGAATTTTTTTTTTAATTTTTTTTTAGAAGGCATTGCATATTTGGTGGAAACTTCTGATATGGAAATAAACAATAGTTTGTGCTACGGTGTAGTGTGAATGCAAATACGAATGGTTTTAATTTTACATGTATTAATCATCTCATTTTCGTGGTTCAAACATCATTAGAAAACCTTAATTTTTCGATAAGAGTCATAGACTAATCATCTCATCAGCACATAGTTATCTGCCAACAAGAAAACCTTAACTAGATGACAGCAGAGGAAATTACGCTTACAAGACAGAAAGGTAGATACCGGATACAGATTTTGTTTTTAGTTAATTTTGTCCTTCTTCACAAAATTGTAGGCGTGCACTATCCTTTGGTGACTTTAATGTCTTGTTAGGTTAGTTATGGTCCACGAGTGCAATGATGGAATGCCTTGTCCCACAAGGCAAACTCAATATTTTAAAATCTTGAATAAATTTTTAAGGTCATCTTTAATGAAGGTTTTAAGCTCTTAAGAAAAATTTATACGTATCCATCACTTATATTTATTCTTCTTAATTTAACCACTTTTATAAATATCTTTTTTTTTCTTTCAATTAAGCATCTTTCCTTCAATTCTTAAATGAATCTCACAAAAATATTACATTTTTACGTATCATCAATAATTTATTTATTAAGTTATAAATTAAGAGATTTTTTATTCTACTATTTTGTAAAATATTTTTTAATGATACAAATTAATATATTGAGTTATAAATTAAGTTACATTTTTACATTTCAGTTGTGATGTTCTTTATAACATTAACAAATATATTATAATTTTTTTTAATTATAAAAAATTAAAGCACATGTATTTCTGTAAGTTGTCGATGCTTAATTGAAATTAAGTACAATAAAATATCTTATTTAGTTATATCTAGGGATGACAATGGAATGGGACGGGTACGAGTTTCATGATACTCGTTCCCGTTCTCGCAAGTCAAATCCATTCCCGTCCTCGTACTCGTACTCGTCGAGTATGTGATTTTCATTCCCATTCTCGTTCCCGTTGAGTATCGGATATACTCGTGCCCTAAACCCGTCAATTTTTTATTTTTTATTTTTTATAAAAAATTTGATATTTTTAAATTATTTTTTTATTATATTATAATTATAATTAAGTTATTTTTTTATCTCATATTATTTTTTATTATCTTTGTATGTGTCAAATAAGATATGACAAGCCTACTGATTATTTTGTTTATTATATTACTGAAAAAGTCAGACCCAAGTGAACGATGATGTGATATCTGTTTTGCAAGCTAGCATACCAAAAATTACGCCCACCTTCGCAAGCTGTTAAGTGGATCAGAGGACACCATACATTTGATTTTAACTACATGGAAAAATGGTCTAAAGCAAGCATTAGTCCTAAATAAAGTATAAATTAATGGAACGGTAAAATTAATAGTAAGAACTATACATCAAAGAAGGAATATTTAATATAAGAATACTTAAATTATAAAGGAGCACGTAAAACGTTTATAAAGTGAGAATGCAAAAACTCTTCGACTAAATTTAGGAATGGTTTTCCGTAGATAGTTATTTATTCTAATTTGTAAGTGAAATTAGATATGATGTGCAATTTTTGCACTTTTACGGATAACAACATATAGTGGAAATAAAAGTAATAGATGTAATAAAGAGTAGTGGAAATGATAATAATTTTAGTTATTAAGATAATTAATAATATTGTATGTTGGATATGTTTGCCTTTATAATAATATTGTATGCGGACAAAGCAATATTTTTTTAAAAAAAAGTGTAATTCATTTTGACCTATATACTTTATTCCCTTCGTGTGTTTTTCATAACTACTTTCCAAATCAAATAAAGAACAATATTTTTTTTTATTGTTTAGTCCCTCAATTTTTATAAATTAAAATTACAATTAATTTATACATAAGTTTTTTTTTTTGAAGTTAATAGGAAAGAGTTTGTACTAACTAACTTATGTATAAATTAGTTTTAACTTATATAGAGAATGTTATTTTACTTTTTCTTCTTATTTTGTTCTCTTATAAATGCTTCTGAAAAAAAATTATCTTTTGTGTGATAAGATAAACTTAAACCAAGGTTAAATTCAATGCGACAGAATACAAGATTATTTAGTTATTATATAAATTAGAAAACAATTTATTATATAAAATAATATTGATTTTACTGCAGAAGAGTTAAACTCTCAGTATTGCCATGACATGATGCAACCAATCCCATTCCTTCCCAATCCGAGAAGGTTCCTACTTCCTAGAGACATGATTTGTCGCCACAATGCTTTAAAAACAGAAACTGTGTATTGAAAAAAAAAAGATTTGGAATTCTGAATTCAAAAACAATAAACAAAGGAATTGTGTATTGTATGCTGATGCTGATGACAAAATGCACACCACACCTATGTTTAGAACCCATGCGTTTTGTGAACTCAAATGATGATGAATCACATTCACAGCAAAACCCAACAGTTAATACCAAAAAAGCAAGTAATGGGCCGCTTATGTAATGGGCCAATTCTTACAAAAATACGTGAAAAGTGATTACTGAACCATAATTAGGGGTGGACAACGGGCGGGTTCGGTCGGGTTCGGGTGAAAAATGTTCAACTTGTTGTAAATCAACTTTGGAAAAATGTGACCCATATCTGATCGACTAAGCTTTCGGTTTGAGGCGGTTCGGGTTGCAACGAATTTGGATTTGGGCAGGTGGGTACAATCGGATTTGAGATTTTTTGTGAACCAAGTTATTTTAACGAAGGTGAAGCTTAAAATGGTAAAAAAATATTTTTAAAACAGTGTACAAAAATAGAATGAAAGTAACAATAGATGATGTAAGTAGATTCGTAAACGAAAACATTTACAAACTAAAAAAGCAAAAACAAAAGATAACAAAATTTATAGTTGTTACATGCAAAAGAAATCTAAAGTTAGATTACAAAATCTATAAGAAATCATTGTCGCACAGGTTGTACTCAAAATGGAAATAAGAAGATAGAAAAGAAAGATAAAGAAAGAAACAAAAAGAAAAATCTAAAAATAGACTAGTATGTTGAGAAATTGAATGAGGAAGAAGAAGACAAAAGAAATATCTAGGTTATGATAAAAAGAAGAAAAAAAAGTTACAAATTGATGGCTATATTATACTTGAAATAAAGACTTTTGAGTTTGGACCATTGTTGTTTAGTTATACAAAAGTAATAAAATATAAACTTATCTCATTTTCAGTTAGGTTCAGTTTTTAACGGGTTTAAAAATTTAAAATCGAACCCGTCCAATATAACCTGTATAAAATCAAAATTTTAATCCGATTTATTCATAAAACCTGCCCAAACCCACTCAAAAATAATATTTTTTATTGAGTTTTTCGAGTTCGGTTCGGGTATCGGTTCTATGCTCACCCATAACCATAATCATGTGCAGGCAGAGAGAAGAGAAATGGTGGGGACCCAAAATAAGGACTTTACTGGGCCTATTGTTGGGTCAGTCCTGTGCACGGCTAAAAACAATAAATTCTAATTAAAATGTTTAATAATTTAATAACCTTTAATTTGCGTCGGATTAATGATGAAAATGAAATTTTATCTATATACAATGCTGATCTTGTACTCAATAATAAAAGTGAAGTTGTCACCAGAGACATCATAGGCAGAACGCAGAATAATTGCGTTTTGTTTGGCATTGATCACTGAAGATTGCGTGCATTCTTCTTTTTATTCTCTTTTTTGGTCTAGATTCCCAACATTCAAGAACAGCGTAAATGCGTAGAGGACCGCATCAGACTAAAAAGCGCTAGATCTTCCTTTTTCGTTTCTGTTGAGTCCCTTTATGTCATTTCATTGTGTTGATGAAAACGTGTGTTGTAATTGTCTAATTGCAGAAAAATGATTGACCCTCCGAATCGAGACTCCGAAAATCATTCCAAAGATTAAAATATTAATTTAAATTAAATAATTATTTTACAATAAATTTATTAAAAAATATTAATAATATAATGTTTAGAGGATGATTCGTATTCCGTTTTTCGGAGGATGTAGCATTGTTCCTAATTGCATGTGCTGGCACTATTATCTTCTACTTTAATCAGATTTACCACTACTTTTTCTAATTCCATGTGTCTTGTTTAAAGATGATGTCAAGGGGATTGTCAGAGCCTCATCATAATATATAAATAAGTTATAAACTAAAATAATATTAAATTTGCTAAGTAAGATGAGAGAATTTAATTAACTCAAATTTGATTGGTATTTGAAGTTCAAAAGAATCTTGTTATGACGATCCAGATCCTCAACACTCAACAGTTCGAAAAGAAATTGCTTTGTGAATCTCAGAATTAAATATAATTATTTTATTTTATGATGTAATAAAAAAAAATTAACAGATGAGATTCATACAATTTAAGTTATAACTGCATAATCATATGATCAAAATCCTCTTATCTCCATTATTCACTTAAATATCGAAGAAAAATCCATGATACCAATGATCTGTTATCTGAATGTGTCGCCTCATTGTGGTACCAAGACTTGTAGGTTTGAAACTGAGTGTGGCACCGTGACCCCATAAATTGCAGCTTCCATAGGAAGCGAAAAATTGGTAAACCATAAATGCATTTTGTCAGAAAGTGGGAGTAAAGAGAGGACCGCATAATGAAAATGGTAAGTCTATCCATTTGAATAGTGTGATGACTCAGCATAGAACATCATCCTATGGATAAACACCTTTTTATTCACAACATTGACTTGTACAACCTCATCCACTTTTCGCCATTCACAACAATTCTTATATGATTACATTCACATTTTCTTCTCTATCAAAAATATATTCCTATCCATATGATCTTAAAGATTATTCAAGTAAATTTGGTCATTCTCATCAGTTTTTTTTTTTTATACATAGGATTAGAGAATTAAACATCTATCGATATGATTAAGAAATACAACTAACTATCAATTACTATGTTGGAGCAAGTTGGTTTATTATATTTACATTTTCTTTTAAGTTAAATATTTATTAATTTTATTAGTCCAAAAATATGATACATTACTTTTAATAAAATTTCTTCTTCTAATAACAATTTTTTATATATAAAAAAACTCAAATTTATTCAGCGTAAAAAACTTTGAAATTTACTTTTAAGCATGTATGAAGATGACTCTTAAATTTGGTATTGAAAAGTTCTAGTACCCTTGATGAGCTCTATATAAAGAGCCTGACCCTATGAGTCTCCTCAAGCCTTATCCATCTTGAATCCCCCTCGTACCCAACAGTTGTTCCACACGTTTTGTGTTGTATCCTTAATCCAACCATAGTTCTTATCCACTGATATCTAACCCTCCAAAAGTACAAGTGTGAAGTTTCCAGTACCAAAAACAGAGGAGTCTGTTAGAAAAATGGCATCCCTATATGAAGTGCTGGGAATTTCAGTGGGTGCAAGCTGCGTGGAAATAAAGGCTGCATACAGAAAGCTAGCAAGAACGTACCATCCGGATGTTGTTGGCATGAATCAGAAGGAAAAGTCAGCAAACCAGTTCATGATGATCCATTCAGCTTACTCAACGTTGTCTGACCCAGAGAAGCGTGCTCAGTATGATAGGGAAATTTACAGACACAGAAGATCAGGAAATATGGTTTCCATGTCAGCAAGAAACCAGACATTTTCCTATGCTGCAAGTGGGAGGAAATGGGAAACGGATCAATGCTGGTAGTAGCATCAGCATACCATGTATTATTATTTATTAACCATTTTGGTCTAGGTATTACTTTCTTTTTACAGAGTTCATCCATCACCCTGGATATGGAAGTTGATCCATTCGTTAATGTTAACCGTTTCTCTTCCCTTTTCATATCTTTTCTCTAAATCTGTCGCCTCACACTCCCTAACAAAGTATCTACACCCAGATCTCTCTCTATTCACTTGCTTAAATATTTAGTCTTTTCAGGTTTAAAATAAAAAAAAAAGGAAGGAAAAAATAAAATAAAATAACTGTGATTTTCTTAAGTTTTTATTATTATTAACTTAAGAAAAAGTGATGTCAATATATCAACACTGGGTGGTAGAAAAAGTGTATAGTTTCAATTTTATAACTTAGTTAACATAATGTGTAAGTACATGTAATTCCCTTTAATATTTTGTTAGGTTTTCATAAATAAAAAATATATTTTTATCAAGAATTTAAATTTAGAGTTTAATTCCCACGTCACGTGAGTGTAATTCCCAAGGTTAAACTTTAAAACTTTAAAACTATATTCGATGTATTTTTAAGATAGACTTGGGGTACATTTTAAACTGTTTAATTTGATTTATTATATAATATTTTCTTATAAAATATAAGTTCTTTTGAATTATTATACATTGATATCAAAAAATTAATAATATTTTTATAATAAATTATTTATTTTAAATATATTATAAATTATACCTTAATTTAAATCTTAATTAAGTGACGTTTAGTTTTTAAAAAATAACCTGAAAAAAAAATGGAATGGAACTGGAGAGATGGTTGTCTAAAACAGGAAGACGTTAGTATTAAAATAGCGATGGTTTGGTTTGGCCCAACATCCATTCTCTCACACATCTTTTTCAGATATCAGAAAGTGATTCTTTTTTATTACAAAAGATATGCCCAAAGCCGAAAGCTAGCAAAAGATATGCAATTTTCTAGTAAATGACCCACTATCCTACGCCACACAACCCTCATCTCAAACAAACTAACAATAAAATTGGTACTACAACATTAAATATTTTTTTTGTTTTTTCCAAATATTTTACAATATTAATTTTATTCTTTATAAAAATTTAATATATCTTTAATCTCTACATTTATCAAAAGTCACATGCTTTTTATCAAAAACTATAAATATGTGCTTTTTTTAATAAATATAAAGACTAAAAAGTATCAATTTTTTTTATAGAAATTAAAATTGACATTTCAAAATATTTTACTCCGCTACTATTTTTTTTTTCAATTCATCTTGTTTTACAACTTACTAGATATAGTTTATTTCGTGTATTAATATCTATACATGTTTATTTTTTATTTTTTCATTTTAATTCAGATATAAGTTATATTTTTTATTTATTAAGGTTTTAGCCTTTTATATTCTTGTTAAGATATTAATTTCGTAGAAGATAGTCTACGCACAGGAAGCGTAAAGGATTTTACAAGGACATCCAATATTAACTTAATTTTAAAAAAAATATCTTAACAATCATATCTACCATAATGACGTTATCAATACATAAAAATTAAACTCCTAATTTTTATTATAAAATAATGTATGCATTGACTGTAAAAGAAAATTGCACTAATTAAATATAAAAATTTGTCATGTACAAAGATTTATTGAATTTTATAAAATGACTAAAAAATCATACATGTCATAATATGTAATTGGTTAATAATCTAAACTAATTTTACATTGCACAGGCTTTAAACTATTTTATTAAGAATTAATCTCAACAATGTATTTACTATTATTTCGATTAATTAAATATAAAAAAAAATCACAAACATCATAATTTAAATAAGTAACCATTAGAAGTTGGATTTAAGTGGTGAAAGAACTTAGTCTCATAACATTATAAATTAAAGTTTAAATCTTTGTTACGAGAAGTATCATGTTTAATACTAAATAGCAACTCAAACAATATTTTCTTGATAAGATTTGAAACATAATATATGTGAGAAACAAAGAAAAAACCTAAATAGGTATAACTAAAGAATTTTGTTTTATTTGAATTACTGTAAATTTTTTTATATGACATAATGATTAATTTATAGAAACTAGACCCAGATTGTTAAATAGAATAGCATTATATATTTAGTTAGACCTAAAATAAACAACTATAAGTATATTTATGAATTAGTTAAGTTTAACTCAATTAGAATTAAAAAAAGTTACACACAAATTTTTAAATTTTTTTTTACATTAAAACGCATATTTTCTTATTAAACATGGTTTGAAACATGTATTCAAATATTTACTATAAATTTATGCCACACTATACTTTCGTTGAAATCAAAATGCTCAAGCCACTTTAGCTATATACGATCTTACTAAGAATACAGAGGAATTGGAATTTGTGAAAGGTAAGAATTGATGCAATTGAAGCAAAGTTTTAAATTATGGAGACAAAATGATAGAGGACATACACAGAACAGCAGTACGAAGGTAGGTCCATCTCCACACCATTTTCTGATAAATAAAATTAGGGTTATGATGTCGAGAACAAAAAATACGGAAATGTTAACAGAGTATTTGTTCCATTCCACGTAGGCCAAGCTAAACTATTGGGGAATATGTTACTTTATAACACTTTTCCTCACATAACTCCTACATGCCTTCTATATCATCATTATCATCTATTTTTTTATTCTCTCCTCTCTTTTTTTCTTTTTTCTTTGCTGATCGACTATAATGATTATCCTTATACATATTGCAGACAATTTTTGCTTTTGACTTGAAAATTTGTAATTAAACTTGCAAGCTTTATGATGGCTAATTGAATAAATCATGTTTGGACTGATAACATGGTATTCCTTGTCCTTTACGAAGGAAATAACAAATGCTTAATAAATTACAACTACCGACTGATAATTTCTTATTTGACGAGGATGTGACTAGGAAATTAACTTCATGTATGAGGTGGCACATGTGTCTGACAAAAACTTTAATGGTACAAACACAGGTAAACCTGAGCTGGTCCCTGGGTTTCTTATTCAACGATGATATATGGTCATTTAAGTACTATTTTTTTTTTTTATCATCATTTGTGTACTATATATACATATACATACTTCAATTATACTTTCTATCTTTCTTTATCTTTCTTTTTTCATATTTGTTATTAGTATAGATAAATATAAATAGTAACATATCCAGATAAAGAAAATGAATGAGGAGGCCTATGTACATGGATGGATATTAGAGTTTTTTTTTTTTTTGTAAATACTGGAAACAGAAAAGAAAAAAAAGAGCTTATTGATGATTAAGTGGGCTGAGGTTGAATCACCAGGTGTACCCAACCACATACCAAACAGTTACAAGAAAAGGCCCAAATATAACATACGAAGCCTTGCCAAAGCCAGAAATTTCTTTCTGCACTCGGAAGTTTGCCTTATACACCTGTTATGTTTTCAAAAAATCTAAAATATCCTTACTTCAAGGAAATTTTATGGAAGATTCAATCCGAATGTGTTTTTATTTGTTGGGAAAACACAATTCAAAACATTTAATTTTAAAAAAATCTAGAACACTCAATCTGTAATGATGTTGATATGTAATTCCATGTCTCTTTGAAAATTAATCTTTTGGATTGGGTAATTTAAAAAATATAATTTTTTTATATTAATATTTTACTAAACACTCATTCTTGAAAAACATCGTTCTGAAACGGGTGTTTTAAATAGATACTTATTTAGAATGAAATATTCTAAATGGTGTGTTCTGGAGAAATAAAAACATGTTTAGATTAAGTGTTAAGAAAGTGTCTTGAAGTAAAGGTACTTTGAAAATAATAATAATAATAATAATAATATGTGTGTGAAGCAAACAGACGAATGGAGAAAGAAAATTCCCCCAAAGTGAAGCACAAAAGCACTTCACACATTGAACAAAAAATAGCGGCTTAAGAAAAAACAAAAGGCCCATTATGCGATGTAGTCACCATTGGAAACAAAAATATAAAATTTTAAGATATTATTTATTAATTTTAAATATGTTTTTATTATATGTAAAATATTCTCTTTTTTTTTGCTTTCTGAACTTATTTTTATTTTAAAAAATTATAATTATTGTTTTTTAATAGTATTTTGCGATCTTTGTTAATTGCTTTTAAGTTTATCATATGATCATTTTTAATAAGACACGTAGTTGTATTTGATATCATAATAGTATAAGAAATTTTTAAAGAATTTTTTGTAAATCTTTAAAATAAAATATATTTACCTCAAAATGAATATTAAGAATAAAAATAGTGACTTTAAGTTTTAAAGAGATGAAAATCAAACAAAAACATTTGATTGGAACCAAAACCAAAATTTGTTGATGTTTAGAAACCAAAAACACCAATTCCAAATTTTAGAAGATGAAAAAAAAATGGGACTAAATAAAACATAAATAACATATGGTAAATTAAAATAACATGAGGAGTATAGAATTTTTTGGCCCAAAGCATTATTTTTAGAGATAAAATGTTCCTATGACCCACTCGAAGAAATTTCTTGATATTATAAGTGAAATTATTTAAATAAAACTCTACTAATTTTTAGTTCGATAAATAAAATTTTGAATTAAATTAAACATTAATGAATTTTGATTAAATTTTATTTAATTATTGAGTGAATAATAATATTTAATCTGAAAATTTTTAATATATCATTAATTCCTTATCTAATAATTTTAAAAATATTATTTTTTACCTCCCATTTTTATTAGGAAAAAAAATAATGCCTCGCACTTAATAATTTAAATATGAACATCTCCTGATATACGTAAACTCTTTAAATCAATTGTGTACAGCAAATTCTGAACCCAATAACACCATTATCCAAAATAATATTAGTTTGATTATTGTGAATATACATTATTAAAAAATTAAAATATGTAACTAACAGTGTGATATAGTGATGGTATATCAATAGTGAAAAAATAAGATAGGAAATTGATGGAGCCCTGATGTGAAAATTTTACATAAATAATATTTTTTAAAAGAAAAAATACAAAAATGTCACCTATGCAAGTTTATTTACCAGAGTAGAACGGTTTACTGTTCATGGTCAGAATTCGGTTCTTCGGGAACCGAATTCTGACCTTCAATATTTTTTTTTTCTTTTTTTTCTTCTCAGAATTCGGTTCCCCGGA